CCCTCTCTCTCTCTCTCTCTCTCTCTCTCTCTCTCTCTCTCCCTCTCTCTCTCTCACACACACACACGCACACACGCATGCACCTCTTTATCTTATTTGTGGCCTTGGCAGGCAGATTGTTGCCTTGCGGTTTAGTAGCCAGCATTTTCCCTGTCACAGAGAGTTGAGGGTGCAAAACCTTCACCACACATGCTTCCATGAGAGCAGCATGTCAGTTTCCAGCGTATCTTGTCCCAGCGGGGAAACCTGGGACGGATTAACCTCCGGCTGAGGGACGAAGTTGGGAAGAGTTGAGTTTCACAAGTTTCTGCCATTTTCTCCCATGTCTGTTCCATTGGCACCGGAAAGTGTTGGGGTGAACGCGTAGTTCAAACCTCATGTTCAGACGCGAATATTGGAGCTTACAACAAATAAGGCTGACTCGTTTCATGTTTCATGTGTATTTGGTATCATGTCATGGTGAAGAGAAAACTTGACAAAAGAGTCCATGGAAACTCTTTGAAAAGGCAGGCGCTGTGAATCTTGGCAGACGGTTGGACAAAGTCAGGTCCACAAATTGGCTTGTCCTGCTGGATGTGGTGTCTGTTTGATAAGCGCAAGGAACACACGTGTCAGTTTGGAGAAAGGAGAGAAAATGTTGTCTGTTTTTTTTTTCTTTTTTTGGAAATGCAAAAATAATGAAATGAACATGTCTTTGCAGCTCATTGCTTTAACATTGATAGTACAGTATGTCTAATCATGCTAAAAGTGATCATATCTGGAAAAACACGCAAACTGCAGTCAACAGGGGGTGCAACTTCACTTTTCACGCTGAAGCCATAAGAGCTTCATGATAGTTTATGACCATGAAAAAAGAGAGAGAAAGAAAGTAGCTGATTGATGAGTTAACATTTTTTCCCTCATTTTTTTTCCTCAGGAGACTCAGGGAAGCATCGATCCAAAGAACCAAAGAAGAAGGGGAAGAAGAGGCTGCGATTTTGGGCTCAGAACCAGCACAGCGACCACTTGGCCTCTGCGCGCTCCGGTCAGTGAGGACTGAGAAGATGGACTTTGGACGTTGAACAAAGAATCTACGCAAAGCTGCTAGCTGCAACCATGCTCTGACTGACAAACATCACAAAACACCGTCAACCTCGCCTGCGTCTCAGACCTCCAATAACATCCCGCCCACCTCCCTCACCTTCCAGAGCATCGCCATGATTCATTCGTAAATCCGTCACTGCAAAAAGTTTTGTCTCCGATACGATTTCAGTGTCGACACACTAAAATCATACTCTACGCACCTGCCTGTCGCTACTTCCTCTTGGCTGCGCTGTTCAGCTAGGTGACTCGATTCGCTGCGGTTCCACCCCATGCCTTGCCTTGTGGACCTTTAACAGTCGACATTAGTGAACTCATTTCCTCTCAATAACAATGTCATCAACTGTCTAGAGTGATTAAAGACAGAGGGGGCAACCACAGACAGGAAGGGTGGGCAAGCCAAATAGAGGGAGGTGAAAGAGAAAGGCAGGCAGAGATTTGGCCAACTGTATTAGTGAGGGGGGGAATAGGTATAGGGGTTCATTAAACAGCCCTAAAAGGGGAAACTAGGAAAAGATGGAGGATGATGAAGAGGTACGAGACTTTGCCGAGGAAAGGGAGGTTGACGGCCAAGAAGATGGCACCTTGAGCTGAAAGAGACAGTTGTTTATTTTTTTTTCTCCCCATTTCTATATTTATGTCCAAACAACCCTCACCTGTCTGTCTGAATGGATATGGACTGCTCCATGTGGCCTTTATGTTCTGTACATTTTTGAGAGTAATATTAAATAAATTACCATGCATAGTTGCAAAGTATTTTCATTCTCAGCACAAAACTGTTTACGTTCAGTCCGCTGTATGCTCTCACTGTATAGTGTGCATAAGAAAGAAAGAAAGAAAAAAAAACTAAGAACTTGAGTTGGTTGACTCGCATGGCAAGAGACACACATGTACATAGTTGATCTAATGATGAAAGCTTATTGCCGTATTTTCAGTCTCGACTTGCTCACCATTCTAAATGTAGAGATAAAAGGCTGTAATACCAAACTGCAGATTAAAATGATTAAAAACAATTACCTAGCCATCACATAGCAGTTTCATTTATATAGTAGGTATATATTTGATTTATTTATTGATTCAATTTTGTACTTTTTTTTTGTTCAATGAAAATGTCTTTTCGCCTCATACTGTTACTCTTATACGCTTTAATAATTCTTTGAGTTTGACACAATGTGCATATCTGCCAGAATGTGTTTTGTCATGTCATGCATCGCTCCGTGTTGTATTCCATCCGTTCAACTACATCTACTGATTTCACTGTTTCAAAGAATAAGCAAAAATGACGTATACAGCTCTGCTTTGATATATTCTGAGTTTAATAATTAGATGCCAACAAATGTATGGTCATAGGACTGCATATGTGTACATTGTGTTTTATTAAACTATATTTCGTGTGACTGTATGAAATTTGTTATTGTCTCCATCTCGAACATAAGTGTCTACACTCGGAAACTCTTTCACTCTCTGTTTTGACGATTATATAATTTCAAAACCATTCATGGAAATAATCATCTCGTATCACAAAACACCAGTGTAGCATCAAGCCAAAGGATTTGACATGGACCATTTGGTCTAAAATGGTGTAACAGGATTCGGAATATTCAGTCATACACATTCGTGTTTTGAATTTCTAAGCAGAACATTTGATCACATCTTCATGGGCTCCACATTGCACTTAATACACTTAAAAAATTGACACTGGTCAGCAGCAAATTTTAATCACACATGGCTTGTGTGTCCCAAAATGTATATTTCAAACATGTCTTTTTTTTCTGGCACATGAGTTTTTTTGCAATATTTTCATTTTTTTGTTTGACTTCGGCGGCCCAGGGTCGACTGGTTAGCGCGTCAGCCTCATAGTACAGAGGTGCAGGGTTTGATTCCGGCTCTGGCCTCCCTGTGTGGAGTTTATATGTTCTCCCCGTGCCTGCGTAGGTTTTTCTCCGGGACTCCGGTTTCCTCCCACATTCCAAAAACATGCATGGTAGGTTAGTGGAACACTCTAAAATGTCTCAGTGTGAGCACAAATGGTTGTTCGTCAATGCGTTCCCTGTGATTGGCTGGCAACCAGTTAAGGGTGTATTCCACCTACTCCCCCAAAACAGCTGGGATAGGCTCCATCTAGCCCCGCGACCCTTGTGAGGATAAGCGGATCAGAAAACGGATGGATGGATGGACTTACAGGGGAACAGTGGAAAAACTAAATCCAAAACACAAAGTTCTGAAAATGTAAAGAAACCAAACAAACAATAACCCATGAGAGAAGGACAAAACAACGTGACAGCAGCACAAACAAACAAAACAACAAAAAAAAAAAAATGCGATTAGCGTAACGGTCCGACCAGGACTGACAGAAACCAGCTAACTAAATTCAAGCAAACTTACGAGACAAAAAGGAACACCTGAACAAAACACAAAGGGTTATGGGAGCTGATTGGTTAACCCAACGGACCCGGACAGGTGGAAACAAAACCAAAATGAGGAAAAGACAAAAGCACACGAGGAAACAAATCTATGAAACAAAGCTAAATGTCAACTAAACAAAAGTAGAATCATGACATAACACGCACATTTGCACACATATGGACAATTTGGACTTTTCACTGAAACTAAACTTTATGTTTTGAGAATATGGGCATACGCCAGAGTACCCGGATAAAACCCAGGCAAGCATGGAGACAACATGCGATGTGCAAACAGGAAAGCGGAAGCCAAGATTTGATTCTCGAACATCAGTACTGTAAGGCGGATGTGCAAACCTGGTACGCCGTGCCATTAACTCAATGTGCCGCCCTACGGACTCAATATTACACTACATACTTATTACATTTTTTTCTTTCCTTCCAGAACCGCATCACACGAGCAAACGACAAATATTGCAGAAAAAAGAAGATCATTTCACATGTAGTAGTTACATAGACATCTGCTGCCTGTTAGGCGGTTAATAAGAGCAATTTCCAGATGTCACCTCCTGGGCTACACTTTAACTCCTATACAGTGGATAAACCTTAAAGGCTAATGAAGAAAAAGAGCACTGACAATAAACACCACTAGAGCATGCATTCCATAGTTAACAGTGTGAAGAAAAATTAAATAGGCTACAAATAAGCAACAGACAAATGCATCCCCGATGAAAAGGATTACTTTACTGGCACCGTCGTACTTTGACATTGCTTTGCGCGTGGATTGGAAATGGGACTCGTCCTCTCTTTGTAAACCACATCTGTGAACTGTGTCTGGTTGCTTGTGTGTGCGTGTGTTTGAGTGTGTGTCTGTGTTTCAGTGTTTGCTCGAAATGTGGTTAGTTGGCTGAGACTTTTAATCTGACTGGGAGAGTTTTCATTAGTCGTGTTGAGTCCTTTTATAAAAGCCTGGTTCAAAGGCCAAGCAAGTGCAACCACTGGCCGGAAATAACCCAGTGGGCTCTGCAGTGACGGCAATCTACGCTTGACAACAAGTTACTAGCGGCGTCATGCTTCGACAGCATGTAATGGAAGACAGGCATAAGAATATGGGGAGCTGCACTCCACTTCGCCACGCTGTGTATTCTCCAGGCAGTTTGAAGTTGGGGCACAAGTGACACATTTGTTCCAATAGCAACTCAATGTTCACTTGATGTTGCATGTTTTTATTATTTATTATGATTACTGTATACTGAATCACCTCTTATCCTTTGAGTTGAAGGAAATCTGGAATCACATTGGTCAGTCATGGGGTTTGGCCAAAACGTATGTTGGGGGAAAAAAAAAATACGAAAAGGACCAATGAATACGATGACTCTCATTTTATGTAAAACGTTCAGTTTTTTATTTTTTATTTATTTTTTTTTTTTTTAATTACCAAACTCCAAAGTGTCACATAAGTCTCCACTCGGAATGACCTAATATGGTATTGCTTGCAATGATGGCCAAAATAACATGTTCTCAATAAAAGTAAATGGTCTGCGACCATTTTGACTTTGCTTGTTATTTTTTTGCTGAAAATGACAAGTCAAATGCAAAATGATGATGGTGCTGCAGTGGAAATACAGCATTCTCTACTGAAAAAAAAACAACACAGGATGTACGTACTGCACTTTTATTAACTCTATGTCAACATATAAACAATACCCTGGCCAAGAGGATCGACGGCTTTGACAGCAGGTCACTCAGAACCATCTTGAACATCAGCTGGCACCTCCATGTTGCCAACTGAGACCTCCGAAAACATACTCTTCAGCCCCCTGCATCCCGACTGGCCGCTCAGAGGTGCATCTGTTGGTTTGGACATCTCCTCCGATTGCCCCCGGAACACCCAACTCATGCCATCTTCTCATTTGATCCAGCAACAGCCGGCTGGAAAAGGCCACGCGGCAGACCCCACACGAGATGGCTTGATGTCATCAGGGAGGACCTCAAACACCAGGGCCTTACCCTGGAGGATGCAGTGGACGTGGTCATTGGCGGGCCCTGGGGAAGCTGATCGGCTCTACGCACTGTGACGACCCAGCCGAATGAGACTGGGCCTCCGCACCGCAAGAGCATTTATTATTATTATTATTATGTCAACATATAATGGGCAGTGTGTGTATGTTCACCTTTTCCAATGGTATATTTTTGGGGATCATTATACTGTAATGTTTTACCCAATTTACACCCCACTCCAAAAGTATCTGAAGCGTGTGATGAATTTCTCTTTTTTTTTGTTAGGTAGACTTATACTTCATTGGGTTTGACTTCAGAAAGCTGATTAATAGACACAGAATCAACATTCTATTTCGGGTTATAGCTCTGGGTATTCATCTGACACAAGACTTTTCCATTTTGTATGTGAGCAAACGTAGTGGAATATGAAACTGACAAGGTGTGCTTGGTTGCATGTGATTATGAAAAATAAAAGAAATCGTTTTTGTCAAACCGAGGTTTGGATATAGGACACGGTTGCAGGGTTCAAAGTAAAAAGATATATTTATTGGAGGATCAGCGACTGACAACTCAAAATGGCAAGGATGTGGAAAAGAAGGCAAGGACTGGTCAGATGCGGGGCGAGAGGCTGGAGTGCACGCACATGGATGAAAAATACTGGCACGGGTCAAAGGGAGACATGGACCATTGAAAAGCAAGCTAAGGGGCAACAGGTGAAAACAATCAGGGTGGCACAGGAGGAAGGTAAGTGACCTGAAACGAGAGGAGACTCATTCTTTCAAAATAAAACAGCAAGTAACCTGACAAACAAACAAAACTCACCGCGGTATGCCAATTTACATCTGCTCAGTTTTAAATTTGGCGTTTGCGAGTGAAGACGACATGAGCACTCGTTAGACGTCTAACCAAAATGAAAATCAGAAAGCTTTCTATTGACAAAATTGTGAAGGTTAATTGATGATTGCATTGTTAGCATATATCAGTGTTAGCGGGGTTGCTTTCTGACAGCTGCAATATACTTGAATGTTCAAAGAGCTGTTTACTC